GGGAAAGTGATGTGCACACTCAGGAACACTCACACACAACTTCAACTTGTTAAAATGTTTCAATAGAAAGGAAATGAAACAATTCTGCTCATGGCAGCCAATCAGAAAAGAGGAGGAGGAGGTGCGGACGGAACGGATGATCTGATTGGATGACGCGAGCAATGCGCAAAAAGCTTTATTTCCCTTCCGTCTGCTTATACATCAGACTCCGATGCTTGACCCCCGGCGTCCCCGGCATCGTCAGCGGTCCTGGAAATGTCCCCGGTCTAGTACTGACCAACAGAAACCATTAAAGCGGAACTCCGGGAGCAGCACATGTCATCCTCATACACGTGTCACGTGTGTTCTACATCTTGGGGAGCTTTGTGTATTTCTTCCTGATCTCTGAGACTCGGAGCTTCCTGTAATAAAGACCGGTCACTGCTGCTCTCTCTCCTTATGCAGGGTGACTGGTCTTGTCTCCGCCCCCTCCTGTAATAAAGACCGCTCACTGCTGCTCTCTCTCCTTATGCAGGGTGACTGGTCTTGTCTCCGCCCCCTCTGGGAATAAAGACCGGTCACTGCTCTGTGGATCCCTCCCACATTTCTGCTCCCTGCACAGGCTATGTACAGCACAGTGATGATGTCACTGCTATATTTACAAGGTCATATCTGGGTTTGGAAAGGAATTTGGTGCACACAAAGTGAATTTATACCCCTTGTGGCTATTGAGGAATACATTTGAATGAAGGTTTTTGTGCTCGGAGTTTCGGCTTTAATGTCATTTCAGGAACTGCCAATCATTTTAAGTCTGCAGGCTTCATTAACATAATCCCCGGTGATCCCGCCATCAAGGTCCTTGTTAAGGCACTTCCTGTTATAGGGTGACAATTGCCTTCCAGCTGTGCTCCTGTGTTGTCACCCTGTCGCATGCGCCCCCTGGTGGAGATTACAAGCGCTCACACTGACACACATTGCGACGCTGGCCATGTACAGCGCGGCGATGACGTCACACGACGTAGAATTGTGTCTATTTTATGGAGGAATATATTCCGATGAAAGGTTTTGCGGCCGGAATTCGTGACGCAGGAATCCCAGAATGCAGCATGCGTCCCCCCCCCCC